TGAACAGACTAGAAGAAGCTTTGGAAAATTATGATTCAGCTATTTAAAAAAATCCAGAAGATTCAAGATATTACTATAATAAAGGTTTAATTAAATATGGATTATATTTTAGCGAATACTCTAAAAAGAATGAACAGATTAGAAGAAGCTTTGGAAAACTATGATTAAGCTATTTAAAAAAATCCAGAAGAGTCGAATTATTATAATGGCAAAGGTATTTTAAAAATAGAAAAAATTATAGCTGATACATTAGATAAAATGAACAGATTTGAAGAAGCTTTGGAAAATTATGAGTCAGCAATATAAATAAATCCAGAAGATTCAAGATATTACCATAATAAAGGTTTAATTAAATATGGATGCCATTTTAGCGAATACTCTAAAAAGAATGAACAGATTAGAAGAAGCTTTGGAAAACTATGATTAAGCTATTTAAAAAAATCCAGAAGAGTCGAACTATTATAATGGCAAAGGTATGTTAAAAATAGAAAAATTATAGCTGATACATTAGATAAAATGAACAGAGTTGAAGACGCTTTGGAAAATTATGATTCAACTTCTTAAAAAAATCCAGAAGATTCAAGATATTACTATAATAAAGGTTTACTTAAATATGGATGACATTTTAGCGAATACTCTATGTAAAAAAAATTTAAAAAGAATGAACAGATTTGTAGAAGCTTTGGCTTATTAAGTTTCATCAATTAAGAAAAATACAAATGGTCCAGAGAATCATATTAATGGACGTATATTTAAATATGTATGATCTCTTAGCTGGTACATAAGACAATTTCTTAACAAAGAAATTTTTAAAGATAAGAAAAAGATTAGAGGAATCATTAATCAGTTACATTTTAGATATTTGGAAAACTCCCAAAAGTTCTGACGTTAATAACTCCAAAGGTAATATTATAGAAGTATAAAACTATAGGATATGTTCTATGTAAACAAAATAGATTCGCTGAGGCATTGGACTATTATGATACTGCTATTTAAAATAATCCAGACAACCCCAATTATTATATTGGGAAAGGTATGAAATTTGAAACTATCCGTTTAGCAATTTCTTTAATGAATTTGAAAAGATTTGAAGAGGCAAATGATTATTATGATTTAGCAATTGATAAAAATCCAGGCAATACAGATTATTATATTGGCAAAGGTATAGAATTAGAAAGTAATCTGTGAGTAGCAATTACTTTAATGAATATGCAAAGATTTGAAGAGTCATTGAATTATTATGATTTAGCTATTTAAAAAAATCCAGAAAATGCAGATTATTATAATGGCAAAGGTAAAATGTAAATTACTATTTTAAAGCAATTACCTTATGCAAAATGGATCAATTTGAAGTGACACTGAAATATTTTGATTAAGCCATAAAATATAACCCTTAAATTTCAGAATATTACAACAACAAAGGTATCATTTACTATTTGATTTTCATATAGCTATAACATTATACAAAATGAATAAATTTGAAAAGGCATTGGAATAGTATAATTTAGCTATTTCAAAAAACACTGAAAATTCATATTATTACTATTGTAAAGGTAAATGATGAGTTTATCAATTCTAAGCAATCACTTTACATAAAATGAATAGACTTGAAGAAGCATTGCAACACCATGATCGAGCCTTTGAATTAAATCCTGAAGTTCCAGATTATTTCAATACCAAGGGTAATTTAAGAATTCATATTTTTTTCTAGCAATTATATTAAGTAGGTTAAATAAATTAAATGAAGCTTTGGAATATCATGATATAGCAATTTAGAAAAATCCTGAAAATTCAGACTATCATAATTGCAAAGGTAGAAAATATATTTGGATGATTTCTTAGCTTATACTCTAAAAAAAATGAGCAGGTTAGAAGAAACTGTGTAAAATTTTGATTTAGCAATACAGAAATTTTAAGATGAGTCAAAAGGTAAAGGTATAATTAATTATGAATGAATTCTTAGCTCATGCTAACAGTTAAGAAATCGTAGAAAAAAAGGTTCATAAATGTTGAAAATAATTATACTTTAATTGCAAAATAAATATATTAATATTCCATTTTTTTAGGATTTCTCTAGTAAGGTTTGATCTTTTATAAACAGAAGTTATAATTCATCACTTTTGGTTCAGCATATTAATTATATGTAAGTTTACCATCTTATAGATCTAACAATAGTTCTCAAGGTAAAGCACATTGTGATATTAATTAATTAAAAATGATCTGATGATAAATTGGAAATAATTTTGGATTGATTAAGTTGTTATATTCTCCTGCTTCAGTAAGTTTAGCAAAAGCTAGTAAATATTTCTATATTTTTCAAAATATTAAAGAAACTAAAATAAAGATTCATCTGCTAATTATTCATTATACATTTTAGCTTATTCTAGAGATTTAGAACCATGAGTAGAAAAATTGAGCTCTCTACTGATTTAATAGTTTTATTTCTATTAGTGATATAAATTGAGTTATAGAAACAACAAACAGAGACTTAAGATTTTAAAGATTCTTTGAATAGCATTTTATTTGTCCGATAAAAGAAAATTTACCAAGACCCTTTATTATTTCATTATTTTCCTTAGGTTTGTATTGTCTAGGTTTTTCTTTTGGTGTTAATATTTGAGTTGATTTTGTATTTTCGTAGGGTTATCCTTGTTGGCATTCATTTTTAGGCTTCTAAACTTTTTTTCAATTATTTTAGGCGTTAGTTTCAAGGTATCTCTGTATATTTGAGGTACCTAATTAAATTGAGATTAACTTAGATGATAAGTAGGAAATGATAAATTAAAAAAAATTCTTTCGTTTAAAATGATTTGAGCCCTTGAAATAAAATATATATTATAGAATATTTATGATAGATTTTTTCCTTCATTGATGATTAAAAATTATAGTATTTCGAAAAATTTTTTTAAATAATATGAATATTGACATATATATATATGTATTTTTTATTTTTAAATATTTATTATTTTATGTATTGGACTTTCATTTCTAAGCGAATACTTTAAGATTTAGAATCAATTCCAAATTCCACTCCAAAACACAAATTGATAAATAATAAGGCTAACAAAATCAATCATTCGTTTGAATTGGATACTTTGAAATAGGTTTCTACAAGTAAAATAAGGTGCTAATCAACTCATGAAATAAGTGATAAAATGGTGACTTCTAAATATCAAAGATTTCATGATATATAAATTGAACTTCCGATGGTCAGAAAAAGGAGGCTAGCCAACATTTTATCGAATCCCAATGATTACTGCTGTAAACTATAAACATCAACATTTTTAGAGAGAACAAGACCAGGAAAAAAAGGTACTTTAGCTGGTACAATCTTAAAGAAATACAAGGATATTCGGTTATCTAATCCTAATAATGATAAACTATTACAAGGTTCTTTTTAAACGTATTAAATGAATCAAAATTAGATAAGAAGTCATTAGTTCTAGAAAAAGTATTAACATGATGTAGAGTTAAAAGAAGGTAATTGAAAGATAGTACTCTAATGGAAGCTCTTCTCCTAAACTTCCCACAACAATCAGTCCAAATACTCCGACATCCACAAAAAAATGTATTGCAATTTATAAATTAGAAAATAAATACATCATTCGTACTAAACTGGGTTAGTCAGTTGATCTAGAAAAAATGAAGCATCCTCGCCAATTATAGCCGTTATTTGATAATTCTAGTTGCTCGCCTAGAGTGACAAGATAATTAACTGATAAAACCTAACATCAAAAAACAGCCTCATCCAATTCTGCAAATTCGTTATATATAATGAATAAAGTATATGGAAATACTAGTAATAAAAACCTGCCTAAATCAATATTCAAAGTTAAATGAATGGTGAATTAAACTATATGCATATCAGACATCACTTCATTTATCAATTTATTATTTAAATATTTAATTTTTCAATTCATATTCTAGTAATTCATTTTTTTCTGAATCATTATTTAATCTTCTAGACTTTTATGGTTAAAGGATGAAAATTGGTTTTAAAATTGACCTTGTATATTCCAATCCTCTTTGTAGAGCGGTTACTTATTTACGTTAACTTTTAGGGATTCCTTCTTAAAATGTCGATGCTCCGATTTAACCTATTCTATCACCTCATTTTAGTATATATTCTGCAAATTCAAGCATCCTATCCATTTTTTCTTTTAATTGCTCCGATTTTTCAGTTTATATTGTTGGGCCTCTATCCTTGACCAGGATTCTTTAAAATCGGTTAATTTTAGCAATTTATATTGACTAAAATTGTAAGACTTATAATTGAGATTTGTTTATTTTTTCTCTCTAAATAGTTGGCTTCTGATAAATTAGGGAAGATTAATTCTTTTTCTTTCAATGACTCAATAATTTATAATTATTCCTATTGATGATGACGAATCATATCATACAGCTCTCGTTATTAAATTAAATGCAATTCATGCATCTTTGGCTTTTGTTCCTCCTATAATTTTATTAAAATATCATTCTAATTCATTTTTGGTATAATTTAATTTATAGATAATAAAATAATTGTCATCATTAATCATGTGAAAATGAAAAATGAGACATGATTACAAATTTGATAACAATTACAAATTATTTTTATAATTTTAACATTCTATTCATCTATAATCATTTTGTTCCATTTATCTAGCTAATTAAAATTATTTTTCTGCTTCATTTTAACGACCCAATATTTATAATGCTTTTCCTAAAATGATTTCTATATTTAACCTTTTTCATAATAATAGCATGCACTTTTTGGGTTTATCTCAATTGCAATATCAAATTATTATAAGGCTTATTAAAATTGACCAAGAGAAATCAGCAATAATGCTATAAAATATTTTTAATTGAACCTTTTCGATATTAATAGTTAGCTTCTTTATTATCCAAATTTATGGCTTAATCTATAAACTGTAAAGCAATTTCTGGTAGATTTAATTTGCTGAGAATCGTTGCTAAAAATATCTTTAATAATACCTTTCTTATAATAATATTAGGAGACATTTTGGTTTTAAAGTATTTATTTATCAGTATATTTTAAAACTTCGTTTAAACGATTGTTTTCATCTAACTTTACACCTATGGATTTTAAAAATATATCTTATTCATACCCTTTCGTTCAACTTTTATATTTGATTATTCTGTGCAAAGATTTTCCTAGATTTTGTTTATACCTTGATTTTAGGGCTTACTTTCCTATTGGAGTTTAGCATTAGGTTTATCTTATAGCAATTATGTTTACGATCCATTGTTCTATTTCGATTATTAGTCTGAATTCGGACTGTCTTAAGGTTGGATTGTGTCATTTATAAATTTAGCAAAATCTCTTTTGGTTTCAGAATTCATTTGATTATGTTAAATCTATTTTTAAGCTCTAATTGGATTCATTATTTTCATACTATAATTAATCCGGTGTATCACTTATGAAGTTATTGAATTAAACTTGAAATTAATCAGAATGTTATTAAACAATATCTTAGGTTTTGAATTTTGTTTCAAGATAATTTAGGACTTCTTACCATTTTTTAGGATCAATATTTGGTCGTATGTCCACATCGTGCTGTTTTCGGTAATCATCAATTACTTAAAAATCTAAATTTAAAAAATATAATACTTTAGTTAAACTAAAATAGGGCTTTTTATAAATCCTTTTTATCAACTAGCTTAATGAATTGAATTATGATTGAGATTTATTATTTTAAAATTTAAGCTACATAAAGATAAGAATTTTACGTGGGATCTCATTATACTTTATTAAGGATTGTAATTATTGTTTTAAATCAAAATTTTATAACTTAATGAAGTCTTTGGCTACTGTGCAGGTCTCTTCTAGCTCTTCAATTAAATTAAGTATCAACCAGTAAAATCTATAAGGGGAATTTCTATAAGCGTTATAGAGTTCCTTCTCAGATTCATCATATTTTGAAATAAAAAGCAATACAATGCCTAATATTAATTTGATAATAAATACTGTTTAAAAACAAGACCTCAAAATTTTATTTTTTTGTTTAAATTAATTAATTGCAATAATTGATAGCATTTTCAAATATTTCTAATTAAATTAAAGTCTAAACTAACATAATTCAATGTTGCAATACTTTTTAGAAGTAGTGGTTCTATGAATTCTTTATCTATTTCCAAAGAATGTTCCAAAATTTATAAAGCCTCATTAAAATTTTAAGCATCAAAAAACTATTTTGCTAACAGAAATCAGCAAATACCCTTACCTTAAGTAAGATCTTCTTTTACTTTTGCTTTTCTTTTTCGGTTTGCCTCATCCTCAAATAAATCAGAAAAATCTAATTTTTTTAGATCATTTAATCGACTATCCAATTCTTTGAATATTTGTGCTAAAATTACTATATAATAAGATACCTGGTTTGTTATTATCTATCTATTACTTATACTTTTTGAATTAATCTAAATATTTGTTAATACCTTCAAAATTTTCTTCTTCAATAAATTTTTGAAGATTATCCAACATTTTAATATCATTTTGATTTTCTTGCAGGACACTATTATAATATTCTTAAAGTTTCTGAAATTTTTCATCAGCCTCTAAAAATTTTTGATTTTCAGCTGAATTATATTGTTGAAGTAATTGATCCATTTAATCTCCACTCTGAAGATCCTTTTCATGGCCATCATGATTTTTAACACAATTTTGACAAAACCATTCTTCAGAACAATCTTGATTCAAACATATTCCAATGATTTACACCTTCATATTACCCTCAATTTTGCATTCACATTGCTATAACATTAGGATTGAATTTTACAAATTCAAGAATTAAAATAATATAATTAGAACAATTTAATCTATTCAAAATGATTAGAAATCTATAAATTTTAATCATTATTAAATCTGTTCTGCAAGTTTAACGGTTCCTCTTTTTCTGGTTGTGGTAACAGTAGTTGTTGATTACTATCATAAATTTATTATCTTACTTGGACACCGCTATCTCTCAAAGATTAATTTTATTTTAGTTATTCTAATTCATTCTCATATTCTTTTAATTTTTTTTATGTTTCATCATTCTATTTTGTGAGATTGATATATTTATTTTTCCAAGTTTCCACTTCTTAAGATAAAGAAATAGTGTAGCTCGACTTTTATGATTGTTCCTCAAGTTCAGCTGCCTTTTTCCTTAATTCTCTAACTTATAAATTCAAAATTACTTTATTTTATGATCTCGTTATTAATTTGATGATGTTTCTTTTTCGCATTTTTCTTTCCATTCTTTAAATTTCCTTTCTTTCTCAGAAACCTCTTTTTGAATGTCGGACTAGTCGGATAATGATTTATTTTTTTCTGCTTCCTCTTTCTTCTTACCTATCATCTCTTCCAATAGCTTAGAATGGTCTAGAATTAGCTAATTCAATTAAGTCATTGTTTGAATCTAATTTTGGACAGCCTTTCTTTGCGCAGTTGCCATTTATTCAAACTAATCGCAGCATTCACGCGATTTTAATTTACTGTAAGAAGTTCCTATCATAGCCAAAGATGACTTATTTCTTTTTGAGTCTGGCTATTACCAATTTAGATAACTTGCGTTATCAGATTTTTAAACAAAGCTTTTTTGAATAAGATAAGGAATTATAGGTTTATTCGGACAGGCTGGATTAGATTAATCTTCACTTTCAAATTAGCTTACTTAATTTGTTTCTGATTCTTGCATTAATAAAATTATTATTAAACATTAATTCAAGTAATTATTTTTAATTATTGTAAGGATATATTATAAGAAAAGATTGATTATACTAAAAGATATAGTGAGATTAAGCTCATATAAGTTTCCATTCGAATTAAAATATTATGAAATAATAGGGTGATATCAAATTATCATGGTTGGGGAGCATCCTTTGTAACTGTTTTTCTTCTTGTGGTTGTCTAAAACTCAAATAAATTAATTACTCTAACTGAAGTTTTTTTCTGTTATTATTTTAACATATCAATCTCATTTTCAAGTACAACTACCTATTATTCTGTTTCATTAAACTGTTTATTTAATGTGATAAATTTATTTTTCCATTAATTTTTCTCATTTTCTAAATCCGCAGAGCTTGTTGTTACCTAAACTTATGTTGTCAACGCCTTCAGTTATTTTTCAAGTTCACTATAATATGAAAACATAAGTATACCTTATCTCTTCCTCTTTTTCATCTCCAAAATTTTTCTCCTTATTATATTTTTCTTCCCATTCTTAAATCTATCTATCCCTTTCTCTCAACAATCGATTATTTTCCAGAATTTGAGATTCTTTTTATTATTGTGCTTTAGCATCCTCTAATCCTTAATTGTAAGAATCAATTAATAATTTAGAATGCTGCTATATGAGCAAATTTAATTCGGTTAATTTATTCATTTGCTCATTAATGATTAGTTACTAGACATATTTATTTATTATTACATATTACTAACTCAATTCATCTAATTTATCACAACAGACATGTTCCTTTGTTATTGATGGTTCTGGACTAAGTTATGATGCTTAAGCAGATTTTTTTGAAGGTACCATAACTGAGTTAGCTTGTCGATCTCTTGATATGACTCCTTTTTCAACTTATAGTTCTTGAGCATCAAATCCCCCTTTAACGTCTTTATTAGCAAGCTCCCATTTTAAATAACCTTTATGCCTGCTATACTTAGAATTCTCTAATAATTAGAAGGTAATACCATTGAGGGACTATCGAAGCTGCTCATAATAATTATTTTATTTTATAATAATTATAGTAATGTCATATATTTCTTAAAGTGAGAGTACCATATTAGAAAGCCGAAAGAGATGAGTTTTCTTTCAAAGTCTCATAAGAATCCAGCTAAGAAAGTTAAATTAAAATTTACTTTAAACGAATTATTTCTTTGTTTCTTTAATGTATCTAACTCAGCATTTGACAGCATTAACTATTCCTATTGTTTGTGATATTCTCTATTGAGATTAATGAATTGATTCTTCCAAGAATCAACTTCTTGAGTCAAAACAGTGATCTTTTCAGTGTATTATTGATTCTCTTATTAGGTCAACAATTTAGATTTCAGTTGATCATTCTCTTCCTATAAATATCTAATTTATTATTTGCTATGTTCGTTCTCCGATAATTTCATCTTTAACAAATTACTCAATCTCTCAATTTCAGTTTAATACACAACATTCTTTTGTTCTAATTCTTGTAATTTGTTGGCCTCTTACAATTAAAATGATCCCAAGTATTATCTTAACTTTTCCATTTCTTCATTCTTATTCCTCAATTAACTTGACAATCTTTCCAATTCTACATTCAACAATTGGAACTTCTATTAGTATTCTTTCAATTATTAAGTATCTTAAACCTTATATTTGAGACTATCAATTTCATCATTTTTTGTTCTTAATAAAGAGTTGGCCCTCATGCTTTCATAACTTAGTTTTTCGATTTCTTCACACTTTGTTTATACGCATTAATGAAGACGATCAATTTCTTAACTCTATAGAGCTAATTTATTTTCATATTCTTCAATCTTGTAATGATCATTCAAAGTGATTTATAATTTAGAAATGCAATTCCTCAATTAATCATTCTCTTATAACTTGATCATTAAGGAATTATTTACTCTATCGTATTCTTATGCGAGATTTTAATATTTCATTTCATATTCTGTGTATTTTTAATATTCCTAAATTTAACTTTGGAATATCAATAATTATTATTTTAACTTATCTGTTTCATCTTATTTCATTCTAACCCTTTAATTAAGATTATTGATTTCTTCATTTTACATCTTTGATCTGATTTCATACTCTTGGTACTTCGAAGTATCCTACAAGGTCAATTATAATGTCTAAATAATTTATTGTAGTTTTTAGATTTCATCATTCTTGTTTCTAATTTCATTCATAAACTTTTCAGTGATTTAATTGTTTTCTTTACTTAATTCATCGATTGATTATTTTTAATTAGACTCACGAATTCTTAAATCCTTAAGTTCAGATTCTGAATCTTTAATTCTTCTTGACAAGATTTCTATCTCTTTAATATAGGTTTGTTTTTATTAATCATACTCTTCAACCTTTGCTTTTAATACTGAGGATGTTCTTTCCAATTCCATAGCCAATTATGTTTAAATTGGCTATTGTTAATGATACATTTATTCATATTTCTTTGTTTCTATCAATGTCTTTTATAATTAGTGTAACTAAGATTGACTTTAAGACACTAACACATTCAATCTTTATATCTCATTTTGCCAATATTGATCTGTTTCTTAAGTATTCCTCTTTAATCTATCAAATTCAATTTGCTATTACTGAAACTAAAATAGTTATTGAGATAATTGAAGATTTTTCTATTTTAATTGTTCTGTTTCATTTGTAACCTCCCTCAATAGATTATTCATTCGATTACATTCCTGTTGATATTATTATAAATTGCCTTCTAATTGTTATATTCTATGAGTATCTTCAATATAAGTAACTCTTTCTTGCACTGTTGATTTTATTCGATGCAATTCAGCCTACAAATCTTGCAATTATTTTTCCTAAAAGGAACACTTATTCCGATAAAAGATTAATTCGTCAGTATCTATGACCTTTACTACTTCCTTGACATTGTATGAGGATTAGGAAGGTTTCAGAATTGGCTGTTGAGATTCCAATCTTATTTAAGGCTGAGATTATTATTGGGCCCTAGTTATGTATACTATGTTCGGACTTGTCAATAGATCGTTTGTGGTTGATCTAGTTCTTTAGGATTTATTTGTTTCTTTGTTTGGTTCTAAGAATTGTTGAGTGGAATAGTATTAAGAGTGTTAATCCATGTATTCGTTAAATATGTTTTATTGATAAATTAATTATATGGATAAATAAAGATCAACATTGAATTTGAATCAACCTAATTACTGCTTGTATGATGTTAATTCTTCCTTGTTCTAATCAAATATATATTATGTATTAATTACTCCACAAAAATGCAAAATCAAATAAAATCCTCCTGTGCAAAATAGCATTGCTCCAATAATGAATCCAATAATGTCACTTGCTGCATTTGCTAATTGATAAACAGCCAAAGATGCTAGACTTAAAATTATTAAGGAATTATAATACTAAATATTAAATAGGCCTCTTCCTAAAAGAGAACTCAAAAACCTGAAATTGTTGTCCATAAATTCCATCTTTTAACCACTTGCAAACAGCATGATTCCAAATAATCTAATTATTTTGAAATGTAGACTTACATTAAGAAAAATGGCAAGAAAAATGACATGAAGAATGTAAAACTAATACTCGAAAATAGGATGGACAACGATATGATTTAGGTGACTCCAATCAGTATCAACATAATGGAGGATATTAGGTTTGACCACTTTAGCAATTCAATAGTTGTCGGCATATTATATATGATTAATAATATAAATCTATATATTTTTTGTGTGTATGTATACATTAATTGTTATTTGATAATCATTATTAAGGTTTATTTTCTCCCATATCTCCAGCACTCCTATTAACTTTATGTCTGGATTCGTAGTACCCGAATTCTGAAGGCAATCTGTAGCTACCGGGGGCTGGTGTGCCAGCTTATTTTATAAATTTGATTTATTTACCTTTACCAACAGATCCTGTTCTCCTAGATTCTTTGGGAAAACTTCTGACATTGGAGGAATGGAATTTAGAAATGAAGTAATTACCATCCTATCATTATTATTAAAATTACTTTCTGAATCCCTGTCTTGTCAATTGGATATGTGCCAGGTCCAGGAGCATAAAGGTTGGTTGCTTCAAAATGATATTAGAAATTTACAAAAATCTTTAACAAAGCGTTTAGAGTTCTTGGGATTGAATAAAGTCGCACATGAATTGTTGTATTTTGAAATAGGGTACTTACCAACAGAATTGACTGCAGGTAGAGATTCATAGGTTCCAGGTCCTGGTATTTCTTTACTTGTTAAGACCATAAAATTTGTTTTTGGTCTCTGTCTCATTGAATATCGAATATCACTTAGAGTGGATCCCAAATCATAGGTTCCAGGAGCTGTAAGATTGGTTAATTTATTTTACCTGGAGTTTTTAAATTTAAGTTTCCAAGTATACCAGTGCTAGCCATTTTTTCTCTGCTCATTCCAAACTTGTTGCCTTTTTATTTTTTTAGATTTGTCTCGACATCACTTGTTAAGTTGTATTATTATGGAGAAGGAGTTGCAAATGGCACTTTTGTAAAATCAGTTCTCAAAATAAAATATGAGATTTACTTCGTTCCTTTTCCAATTCCTGCAGCTCTCTTTTCTATCTGACTAGGCAAATCGTAAAATGCTTTACCGCAACTATAATGATTAGATAAATCATTTGTACTTAACTGGATTAGCCAAATTTCCAAATCTATCAGATTTAGAAAATGTCCATAAGTTCTTTGCGGTACTGTTATTCAACGGGGAACCACATATTTGTTAGCATGTTGAAACAGTTATTGACATAATAAATTAATTAATATAAATATAATTAAGAATGTTTTACTTAAGGGGTTTTAATTATGAATTTTTAAATGTACGTTGATATCATGCTTCAAAAAGCTTTTTAGAACTCGATTAAAATCTTACAAAATTCTTTGCAAATTTCCACTATTTATTCATTTATCTTTAATTAAAATTGCAAACACATAATTAGAATCAATTCTAAAACACTTACAATAAAGAATTGCTTTCCTTTTTATTGATTCCATCACCCATATAGAAATCTATCAGCATTATTCGGGATTTCATGTAATTTAATCATAACTTTAAGGTATTTTAAAGAATTACATTCATTAGATAGTGCTATATTTAAAAATCCTTCATTTTAAGAAGTTGAATTCATTAAATCGCAATATGCACAACTACTTATTCATTCATTCTAAATTTAGTTTAATCCTAATTAAATCTATTATAATCACTTTTTAAATTCTTTCTAATGTCTCCCTACTAAACATAAATTCTTACCTATCTCCAAAAATTACTTTATTTCTCGGAGGTGGAAATTTCATAAATTAAGGGTGATCAAATATTCCTTGATGTTATGTATCTTTATATCTGACAGATTTGATACATTGGTTTCAAAGTGTACTTAAAATAAGAATCGGATCTATTTAGTTCTTTTATCGTAACAAAGATCTTTGGGATATGTATGATAACTTAGTATCCAAAAATTTACTATTTATTAAACTAAACATCATTGTTAATGTGCCTTTATGTAGATATTTAACAAATACATTGTAATCTAAAAAATAGAGTAAAATAATGTAAATTAGAAATAGTTTGAAACTCTATTAGAAAAAAAAATTACTACTTAAGAACATTCAATATATGATATTAATTAAGAAGTAATTCATTCATAAATATTATAAAATTTTTGATTAAAGAATTTTAGAATTTTTTTGAGTATATATTATATTCATATCTCAATTAATTTTTTGTGTTTAATTAATAATATTATATGAAAATTCAAATCTTTTTAATTCTTCTTTATTATTGCTATTCGCGATGTGCCTTCACAGTGGATGAAAATGACAAGCCAATAGAAACTGATAGGGATCCTGAAATAATAGGGACTGTGGAAGCATGTCCCTTTTTTTCTGATCAACCAGTCTGTTGCACAAGAAGTTAAGACCGATCAATGATTAAGGATTTCAAGTCTTTGGATGCCACCTTTGGAAATGATGGAGGAGGTTGTGATATGTATAAGGTTTAAATATCAAAATAGATGTGGTTCAAATATGAAGAGATTCTGGTGCCATTATACATGTTCCCCAAATCAAAGCGAATTCATGAAAATCTCTGGGAGATAGAATATGACTGACCCTCTAAACTCTTCTAAGATCATAGAAGTGTAAATGGTAACCTTAGAAGTCCATCCACAAATAGCATGTGTAATAAATAATATTATTAAATTATACATAGGAGGTTTTTTCCTCATGCAAAAGAACTTCATTTGCAACTCAGGTTTCTGCCATGGCCAGTCCAGGAGGATTCTTTACTTTTCAAGGAGAATAAGCAGTGTATAGATATATATCTAACTTAAAGTGGTGAAGGAGGATAGTATATTAAAGTTGAATTTTAAGAATCCAATTCGCTTTACTTTGAAGACATTTGGTCTTGTAATCACAATTATAGCCGCACTACTGAGGATGAGACAGGTATTCATTATTGGGATGACTTTGGATATGAATTACATGGAGAATGTGGGTGTAACACTTGTGAAAATAGTTGTTAATCGGACAAAATATTGTATGAACCGCCAGGGATATTATATGGATTCGAAGGCACTTATATATTGTTTGCTTGGGGATGGGCTATTTTGTTGTCTTTGGCAATTACTATAATTAGGAGGTGCCAACAAAAAAAATTTGAATTGAGTGACTTGGAAGAATAGAAACAAATTCTTGGTTGATGAATATTTATACTGTTTATATTTTATTTAGTTCATTGATATTCTATATTAATTAGTAGTAAATACAAAATAACATTTTAATTAAATTTATATTAAAATGGATAGACAACTTAAATTAGACACTCAATTAAACAAGACAGCTTTTGATTTGGTTACCTATTCGGCAGTTGGTATCTATAGAGACTTAAACACAAATTAGGATACTTTGTAGGAGTTGCTGCGTCTGTATTTTTCAAGAGAAGAACATTTATCCGCAATTTGAGTGCAGGTCTTTTTGCTGGATTTGCTTTCAATGAAAATCAAGATGCCTTTAATAGACAGCTCTGAAATATTAAGATATAAAAATTAATATAATTTATTTATGTCTACAAACATAAGTTGTCTTAACTTCTATAAGGGAAAATCTTTATTAATATCTGGCTGCACAGGCTTCGTGGCCAAAGTTATATTGGAGAAGATTTTAAGAGTTTTGGAAGTTAAGAGAGTTTACGTCTTGGTGAGGGCTAAGAAAGGCCAATCTGTGACTGAGAGATTTAATAAAGAGATTATCAATTCTCAATGTTTTGACAGGATTCGTAAGTAAAAAGGAGCGGATTTTTAAAAATTCATAGAGGAAGTTGTGAAACCTGTCGATGGAGATCTAATTAAACCTCATTTGGGACTCAATAAAGAAGTTACATAAGAGCTCATAGAAAATGTCAATATTATCATAAATAGTGCTGCCAGTGTTGACTTCAATTCCCCAATTAAAGTCGCTTTGGAAATCAATTATTATGGAGTTCAAAAAGTGTTAGAGTTAGCTAAGTAATGTAAACATTTAGAAAATTTCATTCATGTATCCACTGCCTATGTAAATAGTGATAAATTTGGGTATAATTTATTGTTGACTTACTAAGATTCATTGAAGAGAAGATCTATCATCCATAAAAAGATGTCGAATCCTTTGTTTCGGTTCTTTACAAATCTTCATAAAATTTCGATGAAAAATAATAAAAATTGGCCCTAGACAAATTTCCGAACACTTACACATTTACAAAAAACTTGGCTGAATAAATGCTAGCATAATTGAGACCACCCAACATGTAAATCACTATTGTAAGACCAACAATAGTTGGATGTTCATTCAGGGATCCAATTCCTGGCTGGGTAATATCGATTGTTATACAAGATTGATAACTTGGTTGGAGGTGCAGCTGTGATCTTTTTCGCAGGGATTGGATTAGTCAAAATCTACAAAGGAAAAGAGAATTTAATTACAGATCAAGTCCCTGTTGACTTTGTATCTGATATGATTCTGGTGGCAGGAGCCTATGAAGCCAATAAAAATACTTTCTAAATTTATCATTGTGGCACTAGTGCTAGAAATCCTGCTCCTTGGAAATTGACCAAAGATACTTGTGTTGAATATTGGAATGCCAACCCTCCAAGTGTCAAAGTTTCACCATGTACAATAGAGATTAACAATAATTTATGTTACTATCGATATATGAATTTTAAAAGAAAAATGGGAGCCTTAGCTTTAAAGACATTTGCTGATACCTTTGGTAATTCAAGTTAGAAGAAAAATGCTGGTCGTTATCTTAAGGTTATTGATAAGGCTGACACAATCAATAAGACTTTCAAACATTTCAATAGGAATGAATGGGTGTTCTCTTAAGAGAATGTCTTACAATTAATGAATTGTTTATCAAGGGATGAATAAGGGATATTTTTATTAGATGTTACTGAGATGGAATGGAGGTATGCATTATATTCCTAATATTAGATCTTATATGATGACATTCCATTATGGACTCTAGAAATTCATTTTGAAAGAAAATGTCTAACCACCTGTAGATGAAGAACCAACTGATTTATTGAGATCATGGAAGAGTGGTAACTTCACTGATTTAAAATGGATAGTAGAAAAGTAAAAACTTCCAGTGGAAAATAAAAATTACACAATCAATGGTCTTTTTAATAGGTAAAGAGCTAAATTGTGATATGATAAAATTTATATTTATATAAAACAGAATGGAAGTATATAAATTAATTTTTATGCCTACATATAAATCAGATTTGGAATTATCAAATGCCTAATAAATTAAAATAAGATTTAGTTCATATTTATAAAGTAGCAGAAGGAGAATAGAACAATATTGGATAATCTGTATTCATTTTTAACCAATTAAGTAATATAAGTTAAAAAATACAAAATTTAAATTGATCATCTAACTAATTAATATTTTTTAAGAATCCTAAGAAGATCAACCTTATTCACTGGCTTAGGTAAAAATTCACTCATTCCTTAGTGATCACTTTAATTCATATTTTCTTTAGTATCATAGGCTGAACACATGATGATCGTTGGTTTTTTACCTCCTTGTTTAATTATCTTATATTTATAATTAGATTACTTCTTTTGATGTTTCAAATCCATTCATACCAGGCATTTCTATGTCCATAAATATTACTTCATAAAATTAACATTACGTATTCATTTTATCTTTTACTCTTTATATCGCCTGATTGCCATCATAAGCTGAATCGCACTAAATTTGATAATGATTTAATAAGGCTTTGAATGCTATTAAATTTAGTACTTAATCATCAACAATTAAAATTCGTTTACAAAAACTAGTACATTCATGAGTTTGCAAGGTTGAATATTTAAATGAAAATGTTTTATTTCCTTGAATAGGACTTTCTAGAGATTTGAACTAGAAATAGTTTTATTGTGGAACTTTGATTTTTTCATTTAAATCATCAATGATCTTCGGACTGTCATTTGAATTTAAGCAATCAGGTTTCTATCCCCTCTTTTGCAGATAAAAATGATCATCCTGGACAATATAATCACTATATCGACGGATTACAAAATTGTCATCCTATAATGATCGTGATTTCTTGCAAGTCATAAATTTACCAGTATTCAATGAACCTCTTAAGAAAATTTGCTCTTAAGATTAGCTCAAGTCCAAATCCTGAATCCAAAAACTAATACTCGTTCCTGTTTATAAGCCAGTCACAATTTCAACATAATTGTCATTCGTATCAACCAACCCTTACACCAATTTTGCAGATAGATTTAGTCCTAATCCTAATTCTGGATTTTAAGTTAAGTTAAATTACCTATCATTTTCTTTATTCTTCAAAATAATCTATTGAGGAATCAATTAACTATTCCCATTCTTTAAAATTTCATTATGATGAACTGTAATTTAGATCCTTTATTCGTCAAGATAAAATAAAGATAAAGACATTTCTCCACCTGATTTTGCTTGATGATACGAATAATTTAGTATATTTATAATTACTTGTATTATACGTTGCTTATCCGAATAAATCTATTTATCAAGCAAACAGCTCTATATTTTAGTAGAGAATTGAACGTCCTTTTGTTTGACCTACTAAATAAAAATATGTTCAATTTCTTAGATAACATCTTAAATCTGAAATAGATTGAATTTGTAATGAAACATATTTGATTAGATTGAAGAGTAGTCTAATATATCATTTATTGAATGATATAAAATAGAATTTGAACATTGCATCAATTCAAGATATTCTCTAATGGCTTGTTGCTCAGTAGTTAAATCTTTGGTGATACTGACTACCTATGAGATAATATTTAAGGGAGTTCTCAATTCAAAGGAGAAAGTGTTTAACATTTCTGAAGATTGTTGATTATACTTTTTTATTTTTTCAATTTAATTTTTATGGGTAATATTCTTCATCAATAAAAAAATGTAAGGTTATTAAATAGAATCTCCAAATAAGGGTCTAGAACCTTAAATAATTGAATCTAATTATTAATTGGAGAATTAAGATATAATAATGCTTAATTTAATATGTCGATCAGGTTAAAAAGTCAAATAAAACGTAAATTGGTTTGAATTTCTGTTTGAATAAGGAGAATCCTAAGCGCTGCTATTCTCGCCATCGAAATTACATTGTCGAGGGTAATATTATGCCAGGTACTTCTATTAATTCAAAAGAATATCAAAAATATCCAAAGATAATCTTCTTTTGGAAGCTTAATTAAAGATATCTTCCAAAATCTATTGGTTCATTTCAAGTTTTCTTGATGTTGGTGAAATTGACATAGAGTTCTTATTTTTTTAGAGGGTATTATTTAAAGATTCTTTTATCATATATAAAATTTGTTCTTCTCCTTAGCATAGTAGGAGTCTTTAACATTTTTTATTCATGTATTAAATTTATTGGAATTAATTTAGGATGATAACTCCTTAGGTAAAATAATCCATAAGGTGATTAAAGAAAACATTCAATTAAGATTCAGTTTTATCAACATCTACAGTCACTCTTTTTCTTAATGAATTACCAACAATTGCAAAGAATTAATCAGAGGATTAATTTTTATTAGTTTGATTACTGAAATTACTCAATTTATCCTTTTAATTATCTTGGATGAACAATTGTGAGGATTACTTGAGTTTTTTATTTTTGAGTTAAGATTGTTATAGTGAATTAATAAATTTAGTGTTTTTATCTGCTTAGACGGAGAGTCTAAAGGAGAAAAGTAACTATTATTTCTCATGTCCCATGATTATAAAGAATATGACTATTATACTCTCCAAAATGTAGTAATCAAAGTTAATGAATAAAACAGAGAACAGTCTCAAAATAATGTAGCAAGGGTAGCCAAACTTGAGAAGTCTATATGAAATTTACAAAGTAACAATTTCATTTATGATATATTAATTTGAGACAATAATAAGGGTATTAGTATGATTTGCAAATGGATTTAGATACTAATGGATTTATAAGTTTAATTCAGTATAGACAATAGTATTAATTAGGAACAACAAGGTTATCCTTATGAGGTGAACATTATTGGTCATTTTCCTAAGCGCAATTAATAAACCTAATTGAATAATAATGGCTGAAGAAGAGAGAGTTATCGTAATAATTTAATTCTTCCATCCAAACATTAAGCACAGCACTAACCACCATATCCCTTGAGCTATTTCCAAAATTAAAATAATGGTTGCGTTCAT